TCCCCGGTACCAAAAAAAAAAAAAGGTTCTGTTGACTTTTAAAAATATATACAAACTGGGCCGGGGATTTAGTTCAGTGTTGCCGCACATGCTTCACAAGTGCAAGATTCTGAGTTCAATCCCCCTGTACCAAGAGGGAAAAAAACATACACACACACAAACACACAAACTACTTCCAAATGGTCTCTGGCTAACCATAATAATTGCAAGTCCAATCAATTATTAAGAAATTAGATTATGGCATAGCTTAAGCTATAAACAGAATCAGGGAAAATGACTCAAAAAGTGCTGATTACAGTGTACCCTTTAGAATGCTGGCAACTGTATCCTTTGCATCATGTGGAAGAACAGAACTGAGGTAGGGTATAAACTGAGGCTCTCGAAAGTCAATGATTAAATCTCGAAGTTTTTTGCTGAAAAGAGAAAAGATACTTTTAGTACTATTCCTTATGAAAGTAGAAAGAAATTTAGATTTAATCACTCTTACAAACCTGGCTTGAGTGTTTTCCATCAATTTAGAGAGATTTCCTAATGGGGTGTCTATATCACAATTTTTTTCTTCCTGGTCTAATCTGAACAAAGTTGATTCTGGAAGTACTGACAAATTCCTAAAACAGCAAAACAAATACAGATGAGCATTTTTCATTGCACATGTTCTCTGTAAGAAATATACTGTTACCTGCCAAAAAAATAAATAGGCAGGAATAGCTATTAAAATAGCTACCAAAAAACAACAACAACAACAAAAAAGGTTATCAGGCTTTTGTTCACACTAGCTCATGAAAGACAGCATACTGTACAGTCATGAATTGTTGGGCAAAGGGGAAAGTGGAGGGCACACAGCAACAAGGTCAGAGCAATGGATAACCACAAACACGTAACATTTGCTGAAAATCCTCTTGACTTTGCAATTTATCATGGGCTCACCACCCAGAAGGGTCCTAAACACACAGGTCCCCCTCTTCCCACCTGAAGGACAAGCCTCTTTCCTGCCGCCTCCTCCCTCTTTCCTGCCTGCCCCTAGAGTACCTTCCCTGATTCACTAAACTGCTACTCTTCTTCCCTAAGCTCCCAGGCCAGCGTGTGCCTTCAAATCTCCCATCTTTAGGCCAGCCCTACTCTTTCCTCCCACCTGGCTCATCACCCAAACTTCTGGTTTGAGTATCTGCAGGTAGCATGACCTCTCCACCTGGCTAAAACTCAGGCTATGGCAGCTCATATACTCAAAACTGAACTCCTCGCCCCTGTTGCACCTGAGCTGCCGCCTCTGGTCCTGACCTCAGTTAACAGCACGTGGATCCACACTACTGTGTATTGATCCTTCTCCTCACCCCCACATCTAGGCAGTATCCAGCTGCCTGCCAAATGTACTTTTTTTTTTCAAGGCCAAATGTACTTTCTAAATACTTACCAAAGTCACTCTGTCCTCTCCACCAACACTAACCTTGCCCTCAACCACAGCTACGCGGGGCCACTACAGTACAGGTTCAAGGTTTCTCTGCTTTCAATTTGGCTCTTATTAACTCAAATCTCCACAAGTCATCCATAAGACTATGCAGATGCAATTACTATCTATGCGTCTGTTTAAAACACGTCATAAGACTGGGAGTGTAGTTCAGTGGTAGAGCAAATGCCTCAAATGTAGAAGGACCTGAGTTCAATTCCTAGCACAAAAACAGAAACTTCACAACATTTGAAAAAGTAAAATCAAGCTTTCTAGACATGGTATATATGACCTGAGTTCTCCAATCACTCCCTTATATTTTACATGCCAGAAACACTTAACTATCTTCACTTTCCTGAAAACCCCATGCCACACCACATCATGTGATCATGCCCATGAACATGTTGGTTCAGTCTGGCATACTGCTCACATTTACTAACTGACTAATCCACAGGATGAAGATCCAGAATTAGTTTTGACTAATCCACAGGATGAAGATCCAGAATTAGTTTTGGGTTAAATGCCTCTATCTTCCTATCAATTTGAAAACTTCATATATTAGTTTGAAAAATAACATGTGGCTACACACCATACCATAAATTCCTCAGATATTTACAAAGTACCTGCCATATCACACACACACACACACACACACCCTGCTAGAAAGGTAAGGATACAGCTCAGTGGTAAAGCACTCATCCCTGAGTAGCACCTGTAGCACCAAAAAACCCAAAAACTACTGCCAAGGCTTGCAGAGACTCCTAACCAACAACAGGAATACTGTGGCTCATACTCCCTCATCATGGAAATCTATACCAGGGCTGGTGATGGCCCAACTAGGATTACTGGTTGGCAAGGAACAAGCCTGGACATCTCCACTGCATTTACTCAGGCATCTCAAGCCCCAACTGCTGACCTCTATCCATTCAGTATCAGCTAAGAGGGGGCTGGCTGTACAAAAGGGGGTTATGACTGGCATCTAAATATCCCCCCAAAGCCTCATGCAGTCATGCTGGTTTAAGTGTGTGATGTTGGGACTAAAAGTGTTTGATTACTGAATTAGTCTTCTGGTTGGTTTGGCATAGTTCTGGGTATGGATAATGGGAAGGCCCACCCTTGGTGTGGGTGGCACCAACCAAAGGGCAGGTAGCCTGGAAGGGATAAAAGAGAGGCTTCTGCTGCTGATGTTGCTGCTGCTTCCCTACCTCGCTACTTTGCTGCCTTCTGCCGGCCATGAACTGTTTCTCCTCTGCGATGCACTTCTGCCATTGACACCCTGCCTTGGAAACAGCCAACCATGGACTGAAACCTCTACAAACTGTCATCTACAATAAACCTTTCCCCTTTCAACTTTGGGTGTCAGGTATTTTGTCTCAGCAAACGAGGAAAGTAACGAAGATGGGGGATACAGACATTAGTGAACATGGACCTGGTCTCTGCCACTGATTTTCATGTCAACTATTCTATTTACCTAGAATGTTTCTATCAAGCCAACTCACTTCAACTGAAATAAATATACTTTAACTCACAGCTATGAAGGGAAAAACTCTGTTAAAAGGAAACAAAATGTTGAGTGCCTACAGAACTAAGAGAAATAAATTACATAACACAAGGTGATAGGTCTCTACCCTGCTTGACATACATGCAGTTGTGAGGACTCAGAAAAGATTATGTGCACATTAGCACTTGGATATAATATGCTGTGGCAGACATCTCTGCCCAGTATTAGCAGACACTAGTTAACTGCAACCTAGTCTCAGCAACCTTTGATCTCTCCAAGCAAGATAAGCAGTGCCTTCCCCCTTTACATCCCTGTCTGCATATCAACCATCACCAGATGCTTCCAGATGCTTCACACTAGGTTAGGTCACTAAATGTCTTCAAAGCATACTGTGCTCACCTTTGCTGCCCAGAGCAGCATTGCTCAGCCCCAAGACTCAGTTCTAAGTCTCATTTCTTTCTTTACTCTTATCAGCTTGTGTTGTAGTGCCTCATGGGGACTGCAGACCTAATGCAGGCGGTCTATGGTAACATCCTCATTCCCACTCTCTATAATACATTAAATAAAAGTTTCGCAGTTCCTCAAAATAGTAAACATGAAATTAGCACATAACCCAGCAATTCCACAAAGTAGCTACAAAGAAAATGAAAATATGATCACATAAAAATCTGTAGGTGAATGTTCATAGAATACTATTTATACTCAAATGTTCATTAGCTGGTGAATGGGTAAACAAAATGTGGCCCATCCATACAATGAAATATTCTCCATCCAGTCACAAACAAATGAGCCACTAAGACACGATGAAACACTGATGAACCTTGTAAGCGTTATCCAAAGTAAAAAAACACCAGACATGAAACTGATACATCTAGACAAATAAATCCACACAGATAGAAAGCAAAACAGTGGTTGCCAGGGGCTGCAGGGAGTGGGCAGGGACTACTTAGCGGGTGAGTGGTATGGGAACTATATACTATATAAGTATACTATATACTATATAAGCTCTTATCAAAAAAAGTAGCATTTTATTACCTGTCTAATAAACAGGTTATTGTTGTCATGTTAATCTCTTTCACATATCCTCTGGACAAAGCAAACAATGTTCTATCTTCTCCACTTAAAATAATTCTGTCCCCTGCCATTAGATTTGTGACAGGCATGGCACCATGTTTACGTTGGAAGTTATGTATGTATTGTCCATCACAAACTCTCTGTACACATTCTGTTCTGATCAGATATCCGATGCAGCTACCACTCTCCTCCCTAGAAAAGAGAAAGACATAAAGCTTCTGTTTACAACATATATGTATCTTGTTTGCATTTTTCCACAACTTGCTTGTTTATCTGGCCCCAGGCAACTAATGCTAATGGAGGGTCTTATTATGACATTTTCCCCAATCTAAAGTGTTAGAAAAGCCAAGTAAATACCCCTCTCTTAGTTTGTGTGTGATCTCTCACCACTACCCCATTGCACCCACAGCCTGGGATGTCTGAACAAGGTGATTAGCACACTGATGCCTGACAGGTGCCCCACCCTGTGTGGACACACAAACCATTACAGAGGCAAACATCTGCTCCCAAACCCGATGTAGATAACCCAGTGCTTGCAAGAGGACTTATAATTATTGTTATTAAAATAACAAAAATTCAGTTGATAATTCTAGTGTTTCTAAGAAATAAGTACTTAGGATTTACAACCTCTCTGACACTGCTATCAAATACTATACAATCTCAGAAGCCTAGTGGTATGTATGCTTGATGTATTTACTGAATTTATGCAGTCTAACAGCAAAACATATATACAACTATATATGAACTTTCTCCACTATAATATTTCCTTCTATGAAAGTCTAAAACTAGAGAAATAAAGATCCTTAGGTCATTTTGTTTGGTTGGTTTTTTTTGTTGTTGATTTTCTTTTTGGTACCGGGGATTGAACTCAGGTCCTTGTGCTTGCGCAGGCAGGCGGTGAAACCACTGAGCTAAATCCCCAGCCCCCCAACCATTTGTAAGTATACAGTTTAGTAGTAGTAGTGGTAAGTGTAGTCATGTTGTTGTGCAACAGATCTCTAAAACATTTTTATCTTACAACACTGAAACTACCCATTAAACATGAATTGTTCCTCCCCTATACCTTGTTTTTTGAGACAAGGTCTCACTATTGTAGTTCAGGATGGTCTTGAACTTACTACATGGCCCAGGCTGGCCTCAAACTCAGAGCACTCCTCCTGCCTCAGCCTCCTGAGTGCTGGAATTATAGGCATGCACCACCACACCTGGCTAAATTATTTCTAAAGTCACACTGCTATCAATATTCATTCTGGAGGGCCAGGGATTTAGCTCAGTGGTGCCTCTGCCTGCTTCGCAAGCACAAGATCCTGACTTCAATCCCCAGTACCGCAAAAAACAAACAAACAAACAAAAATATTCATTCTGGAAAAACAAAAATGGGTCTAAGAATATTACTGTACAACAATATACAAAATTCTAACCTTATAAGTAGCTTAGCAAAGAAAAAACACAAACTTTCACTAATATATTTTATTGAAAATAGGCTTTTTTTTTTTTTGGTACTGGGAATCAAACTCAGGTCCTTGCGCTTGCCAGACAGGTGGCAGAACCATGAAAATAACTTTTTTTTTTTTTTTTTGGTACCGGGGATCGAACTCGGGTCCTTGTGCTTGCAAGGCAGGCAGTGGAACCACTGAGCTAAATCCCCGGCCCAAAAATAACTTTTTAAATACTAGTATTTAAAAACTCAAGTAAAACCTCAGTAATTTTCATTCTACCAATAAGTAACAGATATACTCTAGTTTATACTAATATCAATGATGAAAAAAAATTTACTAGGGCCAGGGATTTAGCTCAGCATTTCCATTGCCTGCCTCGCAAGCACAAGGTTCCAAGTTTGATCCCCAGTATCAAAAAATAATAATAATAAATAAAACTTTACTAATTATTTTCAAAATAAGATGTCTTTTCTTTTCTATGTATAGTGCTGGAGATCAAACTCAAGGGCTCAGACATGCAGTCTACCCCAAAGCCATGTCCCCAGGACAAAATAAAGATTTCTTGAGCCATGGAGATTCTGGTCCACTCAGATCAACTTGCTGACAGCAGCCAGAGCTGTCAGGAATTATGCTACAGGACCTGCATGTGTCAGGTCCAAAGGCCACAGCAACAGCCAATACTAGTGACTGACACTTCACTGCATTATATGGACTACTCACATTTCAGAAGCAGACATGAGCCAGATATTCTGGTGATTCCTTCTGCTGTCTTTTGATTGTGACTCCAGGGTTAACATGAGACACCAAACGCTGAAATACTGTAAGTGTGTCAGCTTCAGATGCTTGGTAGCTTCTTTTATTCTGGGCAACATAACCACTGGGACCGAAACATCCTCCATCTGTTGTTCAACTGCTCTAAATACCAAGTTCCATGTTAGAGCTGCTGTCATATATAAAATTTGTCTGGCTTGCTGTGAAATAAGATTTTTGTGCACATATATGCAACCATAGTATCTAACAACCACAACCCTAATTTTCCTTAAAAGTTATTTCACTTTATAAAGCATGTGGCTTTTTACAAAACAAAAAATGTGTAAGCAATTCAGTATTATTATTTTGCCTCCAAAGACTATCAATCAAACAATTTAATCTTGCTATATTCTAATCTTCATTCTCATACACAGTAAGTTTTGGCCTTTTGTACAGCTACATGTTTCTTGAAATCACAGTATTTGTACACAACTCTGTAGCATAAGCAAGTCAATCCAAAACATGGAGAACCATTTGGAGTGGGTTTTGTTGTTTATTTCGTTTTGGTTTTTTGAGACAGTGTCTCACTAGTCCAGGCTGACCTTGAACTCAGGATCCTTCTGCCTCAGCCTCCTAAGTGCTGAGATTACAGGCATGAGCCACCATGCCCAGCAAGAAAACCTGTATTCAAAGTACCTCAGCTGCATCTTTCTGAACTAGATTCCCAAATCCTAGAATTATTTCACTTCACAGAAACTATACGCAGTGTGATTAAAATAGGCACTTTTGGAAAGTTTTAAAAGCATGCTACTATTTACCAAGAAAATGGACTTGTTTGAAAATATAAACTGAGCTTTTTTCCCCCCATTCCCTTCATTTCAAAAAATTACTACACACCAAATAAAAGGATGAAATAAAAAAGGACAGGGGACACAGCTCAATGTGAAGGCCCCAGCACTACAGCACAACACAACACAAAACCATTAATGCCAGATCAGCCACCAATTTTGTCATACTGAGATCACACCCAACTTGAATTAATGCTTTTGGAAAAGTGCACTTACCTGCTATAAAGAGCACAGTTGTTCATTTGTGAACAATATTTACAGATTTTCTCCTCCTCAATTATTTGAGGCAAAGAAGCAAGCTGTGTCTTCTCCTTTCCAGTAGCAGATTTGCTAGTACGGTGCAGCAAAGAGAATGCCATCTGGTTCCTTAGCTTTAATAATTCTATGGGGAGAAAAAAGCTAAGCGTCTTCAAGAGTTTATTTAGTAAAGTTTATTACTTATCTTCTCCAGTAGATTAGTAAAGCTCTGAGATTTAAAACCATAAGGAGGGCCGGGGATTTAGCTCAGTGGTTCTGGCACTGGCCTTGCAACCGCAAGGTCCCAAGTTCGATTCCCGGTACCAAAAAAAAAAAAAAAAAAGCATAAGGAAAAGCAGAGAACACCAATCATATTTTCCACTATACTAGAATAACCACTGATAATCATATTTTGGTATATTTCCTGTAAGTTTCTACTTACTTGCTAAGTTCTTGGAACAAATACCTACCTCATACTGAGTAAGAATTTGTCAAGCTGACATTTTATTACCTGAATGCGGAGTATAGCACTATCTAGAACATCTCTAACGTTAAGTATGAAGTTCAGCCTGAAGTTTGGCATTACAAAATTTTTAAAGATTGAAAATGTTTTCAAAAAAATAAAAAAAATTTTAAAAAAAGAAAATGTTTTCAACTATAAAGTACATCATTAAAATTCTTTTTTAGAACAGTGCAACAGCTACAAATTACATCTTAGTAGGCTGGCAGGTGCTGCAAGCAGACCTTCAGGCATAAAACTACTGCCAAAAGCTGAGGGCAACAGAGCAGCCAGGAATAAAAGCCAAAGCAAGCAGCTCCACCTCTTTTATCCAGATGCTTGGCAGCCACAGGGTACATCTGCCCAGTCTTGAGGTAAAGAAGCAAGCCAGCCTCGGGATCTGCTCTCCTCTCCTGGCTCAGCAGTGTGTACAGAACCACCTGTAGGAACATTGAGCACTTTGTTAAACAGAACTATAACTTTCTACTATTTCCCTAGTTGTCTTGTAACCAACACATAATTTTAAAACCAAAAGGTCAATAAAGCTATTTCCATTTAGAAAACATGACAGATTTGCCAGGTGTGGTAGTGCACACCTGTAATCCCAGCACTTGGGAGACAGGCACAGGAGGATCACTGAAACTTTGAGGCCAGCCTGGGCTGCACAGTGAGTTCAAAGCTAGTCTGAACTACATGGTGAGATCCTGTCTCAAAAAAAAAAAAAAAAAAGACAAAGAAAACAAACCAAATCAATAAAGGTAACAAAGTAATTTATTCGGCAGGTCTGGTGACACATCCTTGTAATTCCAGCACGCAGGAGGCTGAGGCAGGAGGATCTCTACACGTTCAAGGCTAGAGGGTGAGCTCAATGCCTGAACTATATAACAAGACCCTGTCTCAACAACCCCCACGAAAATTATACTTCTCTATTTTAGACAATAAAGTTAATTTTTCTTACTCAATATTTGTATTTCCACAAATTAAAAGTTAATCAACCTATTTCACATTTATAAATTAACATTATTTAGACACTATTTTCCCAAGTTAGAATGAACACTACAATGCTTTTCATTTATGTCATGGTTAGTATGACAAATGAATGACCCTAACCCCACAGAGAATGTATGTACTATTTCCAAGAGCATGAAACATTAACCACCTGAGATTTAATGGTGCCCTTCAGAGAAGCAATTGAAGTCAAGTTAGAAACTGTCCCTTACATCACACAGCAAGAGCAAGTTATTTAGCTAGAGTTGTGTACAACCCAAGGACAACTGATGATTTTCCAAAAGATCTCAAAGAGTCAAATATTAAATGGCTGAAGAGATATGACTTCTAATAGTTTGTTTTGTTAAACAAATTTCTATGTTCATACTTTTTTCTTCTATTATCTTTATCCAGTTTTAGGATTAGCACAATGTTGAGTTCCTAAAATGACGGGAGAAATGTCCCTTCTTTTTTCTGCTTTAATTGTTTGATACAATTTATCAGTAAAAATGTATATGAGCCTGCTGTTGTCATATAGGTAGGTGGGTTTTTTTGGTAGCAGGGATTGAACTCGGGTCCTTGCGCTTGCGCAGCAGGCGCCAAAACCACTGAGCTAAATCCCTGGCCCCATATAGGTAGGTTTTCAAGCTAGGAATATACTTTCTTTAATAGGTGCTATTCAAATTTTACATTTCCGGGCCAGGGATTTAGCTCAGTGGTTTTGCCACCTGCTGCGCAAGCACAAGGACCCAAGTTTGATCCCTGCTACCAAAAAAAAAGAACTTGTCAAATTTTATATTTCCTCCAGAGTTAGTTTCATTAACTTGTCTTCCAAGATACTTCTTAGAATTTGTCAAATTTATTTCAAATCAGATTTTTGTAATATGCTTTCTATATCCTTTTAAATTCTGTAAAACCTGTGATAATGTCTCCTAGATCTTAACATTGTAATTTAAAAAATGTATAATTGATATTGTGAAACAGGAAGGAAAAGTCTAAACGTGCAGGGGAAGTAAGAGGGGTAAAGGGAAGTAAAGAAGGGAAAAGAAAAAATATGAGAAAAGGAAAAAAATGGAAACAAAGTCTTTGCAAATAGGGAAGGG